AAATAAAGTTAGTAGCAGCTCGTCTAAAAACTGAAGCCGCTGAGGGTCCCGTTTACACCTGCTATTAACATCCGTCTCAGCTGAACCGATCGCAAGGGAACAGTATTAAATACCCAGATAACAGGGAACGTTCTCAGAATGTTCTGGCAAGGTTCTCCCAGAGTTATGAACGTCAATGGAACGTTTGTTCAGAGATTTTTTATTCATGGAATGTTTTTTTCCTGAAACGTTTGAAATGTTCCAACATTTGAAACCACTTTGGAAACTTTTTGAATTCAAGAGTTACACCTTTTGAAACATTTAAAAGTAACATTCTCATAAATGCAAAATGATACAATGGAATGTTCCCTTGATGTTCCCGTAAACGAGAAAATAATGTTTCTAAAACATTTACAAAAAATTTCCAGGTGTAAAACGCAATTTAAAAAAAGAAGTACCTTAATATCTTGATCTTTAGGTTTTTAAACTTATTTTAGAGCTTGGTTTTGTCTTGTTTCCAATCATTTTTAGTCATCTTGAGGCCCTCTAGTGGATGTCGGACCCCTGGTTGAGAATCACTGAATCATTAGAGTGCATGTGTGTGTGAGTTTAATAGTTCTGTCCGGTCTAGTGTTGTCAGTATTGTTTGATTGTGGAACATTCCTATAACACTCCATCAGTACTGATGTAGCAGAGAAAAGGGAAGAAACAGAAGGAGGCAGAGACAGAGAGGAAGATGGTGAGCGCTAGGAGGGGTTCGAGAACAAGCGCTGATCTCTCCGGGAAGGAGACTGAGCTACATTTTACACGTGAAGAGAAATTAGTTTCCCTCAGGGACGCACGCACACACACACACACACACACACACACACACACACACGAGACACAGTGAGACTGAAGTACTTCAGCTAGTGAAAGTGAAGCGACTGACGGACACACAGCTGCATCAGTGACACAGAACCCAACGACATGCAGGATTTAACATCAGGTATGTGACTAACAGAGAACCATGTGTGTGTGTGTGAAACTGTGCCATTGTTTGACAGGCATTAAGAGACCACGAGTACAATCTTACAAACGTTTTATGCCTAAAGAGACTTGCATTGCTCAGACTAAATGAAATATTAACTCAGATGTTTTGCCCTAATATTCTCCAGGAGAAGTAAAACAGACCTGAAGGAGTCTATAGCTGTTGTACAGTAAGAGTTTAGAGATATAAAATCAATGTGGAGCAGCTCAGATCATCTGATGAGAAATGTTTGAGTTCATCCCGGCTAACAGGGAACGTTCTTGTAACTTTATTAATATTTGATATATGTTCTCATCATGTCGAGAGAAAATGTTCCTTGAACAAATTTCTCTGAATGTCTTGATGTTTTCTGCACTTGTTGAACGTTCTCATAATGTTGAGAAAATGTTCTTAGAACAACATTCTCAAAATGTTTTTATGTCGTTCTAAGAAACATTTTTGTAACCTTTTAATAACAAAAAACTGGACATGTTCTTCGAATATTAAAAATAAACATTCAATGTTATATTTTGGGTGAAAAAGTTAGTAGAATGTTGTAAAAATGTTTTTTGTAACCGTTAAATAACGTTCTAATCACGATAAGAAAACTGGAAACTTCAACGTTTTAGAAACATTTTAAAACAATGTTCCCACAACGGTTTTAAAACCTAAATTTGTTCCCTGAGGCATCGAGATCTCTTGATTTTGATTACAGACACAAATCTTGGCAAATCTGAGCAGTTTGAGACACTGAAACGTGAAGAGACGTGAAATTACTGTATTTATTTATTTATTTTTATCATGAGAAACATCTGAGAAGCTGGAGATTTAAAGCTCAACATAAGATAACATTCACAACTCATTTGACTTCCGTAATTTGATGAACTTCCAAGAAATTCTGGATAGAAACAACAACAGCTGGAATTAAGGAAGTAAATGAGTCTGTTTTGATGTCATGTGACTTTAAGCAAAACCCTCACATTGTTCTGTGTTTAATCTCATTGTCTTCAACAAAATGTCAGATTTGTCAGAGGGAAGTAGGAGGCAGCAAACGCTGAAAGGCTTTTTCACTCGAGTCACGCTGCTTCGGAGTGTTTTCTCTGTCTCAGAACAATGAGCCGACAGCGTCCTGCAGCATGATGTTTAGCCGAAACACTGAAGGAGATCGGTGTAGTTCTGTGTGTGTAAAGTCATTCAAGAAGAGATCTGGATCACTGATCCTGCATAAAGCTGTATGATGCATGTGGTCAAAGCAGCACAGTTGGGTTTCCTTTAAATACAGATCTGACGACTCAAACACTGAACAGTTAACATCAACCAAGTGAGGGATTTTGGCTGCAGTCAGTTCTTCATTACATTTGCATTCATTATGCAAATTGACTCGAGGAACAAGCAGTTCATCATAGTACACGATGGCAAGAGGAAACTAGATCAAGTACACAAACTAGAGCAGAAGAGGAAGATACGAATTCATTTTTCAAATTTAAATAGGAGTCATTGTAGCACGTGTCTTTGTTTATGGTTGTAGTTAGTTTAGTTCTCCTGTCTGCAGCTGTTTTCTGAAGGTTATGATGGTCATATGGAGGTTTAAGCTCATTCCACCACTCAGGAACAGAGACGGTGAAGGGTCTGGAAAGCGACTTTGTGCCGTGTTGTGTGTCGTTCCTGAAGATCAATGTCAAAGCCTTGAATTTGATGCTTGAAGTTCAGCTGTAAGTGATGGTTGATAGGAAATTTGAGTCATGTTCTTGGCCATATTGTGAATGGTTCATTAGTCAAGGCTCGATATTAACGCTCGTCTGGGAAAAGTGGATTTTTTTGAGGGGGCAAGTAACCTGATTAAAACGTCAATAACAAAAAATTACGAGGGAAGCACCAAATTTTGTCGAGAATGATTCAGTGTAAACAGCGACTAATAATAGATAATGTATTGACAGTAACACGGTTGCATCAGTTGATTTCTCCACGGTTTCACTATGAGAAATCAAAACAAATGAGCGGAACAGCAAATTGAGAATGTTGAGTTTGTATTTATAACATGTGATAAGCAATACCACACAATCAAGAGTGCTGTTTTCCCAAATATCAGCACGATAGCAAATGTGACATTAATTTTATACAACAGCTCAATAAACAAGTAATTTAAAGTGACTTATATTAGACTGATGAAAATAAAGATCACAGAAGAACAGTTGTGCATCTGAACTAGGGCTGCATGATTAATCAAAATTAAATCACAAAGGCGAGAAATCGCGATTAGGCAGTAGCTGTGATTGTATGTTGTCATGCGTATCTTTCAGTGAAGCACGGTTCTGTGATAAGCAGTAAATCTCCATCCGAAGGCCAGAGGGCGCTCTCGCGCTGAAACTCCAAATACGCCTCGCAGAAGAAACCCAGAAAATCCCTATAGCGGTTGCTGAATAAACAGAAGATTTAACTGCTTTTATTGATTCAACGTGACTAATAAACACACAATACAACAATATATGGTTTATCTGAGTTCGTCTTCTTATAATTTTTCTTATAATAAAGTATATAATAATGCAATGCTAATCGACATAACCTTTATCACTGCTTAGAATAGTATTAAATATGTTGCGTGCCTCATTCTGTGTAAGAAGCCACATCATCTCACAGAAGGATTTATTTCAAACACTCGACTGACGTTATGAAGTGAGTTTGGAGTAAAAACATGTAATTAATGGTATTTAACATGTGGTATTCTCATAAATTACATTTACACCACCAAAAAATCCACTTTTCTTTCTGGACAAGCAACTTTTTTAATTGGACGTGTGAATGATTTACTTGTCCGAAGGCTTAATGTCGAGCCCTGCATTAGTGCACATCAGTATAAAGAAAATGTTTGACCTTTCATTAAAATAGCAACTCGCTCCACCTCTGAAATGACTTTGTTTTGCTGCTGATGTCTTCTAGGCTGGGCAGGCTGTTGGTTAAAGGTTAAATGTCTAATTTCTGCTTCACCAAAATGAATCATAATCAATTTGAACAGCCCAACTGGCTCAGACTAAAATGGACTAATGACTAAACTAGTGACCTGAGTTTGGGACGGATCTGCCCGTCTGTCTTTGTAAGAAGTGTGACAACTCTTGGGGAGTTTAGCATGGTAATATAAATGGCAATGTTAACATCTTGGCGGAATAGATCTGCTACGCTGCTGCGGCAGATCAAGTACCGAGATGTGCTATAGCCAATACATCCACAGACATGCTGTTGTGAGCATGCAAGAAATACTGCTGCTGCTGCACACTGAACATATATGAAATAACCCCCATATATAACATACAGGTGCATCTCAATAAATTAGAATGTCGTGGAAAAGTTCATTTATTTCAGTAATTCAACTCAAATTGTGAAACTCGTGTATTAAATAAATTCAATGCACACAGACTGAAGTAGTTTAAGCCTTTGGTTCTTTTAATTGTGATGATTTTGGCTCACATTTAACAAAAACCCACCAATTCACTATCTCCTGAAATAAATGAACTTTCCACGACATTCTAATTTATTGAGATTCACCTGTACATGACATCCTGTAGCAGATCTATACAGGTGGAGCTGGGGAAGGTGGAGGGTTTTTGAAGCACGTTGCAATAACTAGCCAAGTATTTGAATGCTGAGCAGTAATAATGATGTGATTTTATCACATAGAGTTAGAACCTATCGGACTGCGCCATCTAGAGTTTAATGACAGAACTTTGTATTAATTATGCAGCTCTGAAATACAATGAAATGGCCTGCGAGTGTGGTTTCTCCCACATTCTGGTTAAAGCAAAGAAAACACACAGATGTTATGAACGGTTATTTAATCAGCTTTAGTGATTGAATTGTTTGAAACTGTCGAGGCAGATCAAATTGGGATACATTTTTCTAATCTAGATTAATCCCATATGCTGCTGAGCACTAATGCGTTAGACTATATGAATTCTGATGAGAAGACCAGCAGGACATTCATGGTTTCTCCAGTAACCTGTGTTTTCTCTCCATGCAGGTTTTCTGATCTCGCGTGTCATCGGTCATGGCGCTGGTCCAGTCTCTCCCCGTGTCCATTGACCATCCAGGACCAGGCCTGGACCCGCGTCTCCATCCCGCCTCGCCTCCTCTGATGGGAGCGATGGGTGCCGTCAGCAGCATGATGCAGAGTCACGTCACTTATCCTGACCGCGCAAACATAGAGGTCAGCACCAAATTCCGCAAGGGCACGCCGGGCTCCGGACGCCTGCTGTCCGAAACCTCACAGGGAAGTCGGACTCCGTCCAGCAAGAGGAGGAACGTCGCCGGCAGAGCGAAGGGCTTCGGTGCTCGTTCATATTCGCATGAGGACTTGATAAGTGACTGGAACGATAATCATTTGGATGTGGGTTCGACTTGTGTGGACGGACCTCCGAGACTGGTTGCAGTGTCTGGACAATTAGAAAGCGTGAGTATTAGGGTTTATGGATTAATAAAATAATCCTGTTCCCCTTTCTTATCTCCTATCACTCCCTGTGTTATAATAAAGCCAATAACTTTAAAAAAAAAAAAATAAAAAAAAATATATATACATTTCATATTTCAACATTTCTAATATTGTACAGAATAAATAAATATATAAACACACATACATAAAATAAAAAATAAAAACTCTTATAAGTTAATTTAAATTAAGTATTTTTATAAAATTTTATATTAAGTGAAAAAATTTAAATATATTTTTAAGCATTTTATCTGAAGTATATATTTATATTTTAAGTATATATAAAATATTACAATATTAGAAATTTTATTACATTTAATTCATCAATCTTTTTTTATTAAATTAAATTGTATTTATATTACTTATTAAATGAGAGCTAGATGATGAGAAAGGTCTTTAACACAAATAATTTGATAACACCATTAAATGTAATTTTTACCTATAATATCACTTTTATTTATACTGTATTGTGCTGGCTACACAATTTTTAATGCTTTATTTTAATTTCCTTCATACGTTTTATTATTGTTTTTTAATCAATTTTATGGAAAGCATTTTGTATGAAATAGCATTGTGAATGAAATGTGCTATATAAAACTGGCCTAATTAACATTTCAAACAATTGCATTTAATTTTTAGTGCTTTATTTTTAAATTATTACATTTAAATATTAAATGTAATATTATCCATTTATCAGCCATATGAACACTAGGGCTATCAAAATGACTAAAAAACTAAATTCGAATTTTCTACTTAAATATTATCAAAATTTGAATTATATTTGAATTTAAAAGGCATAATTTCAGTTAGGGGGGAAAAAAGCTTTTGGCTTCTCTCCTGAGGCCACAAGAGGGCGCATCGAGCAAAATATTATGCACGTTTCTTCAAAGCGTAATAAAATAACACGACTATCTTTGAAAAAAAGTGCATAATGTTTAAAATAATGTTTATAAACCATATATAATTAATAAAGTTGCTTAAACAATTAGAAAAAAAAACAGCACCATGCATGTATGTATAGTTTAATACAAAGGACCGAAAACCAATCACAAAGAGTAGGCTACTTTCTTCATTTAAAAACATGATAAACTAAAACATTTCTTTTTATCACTGTCTTCATGGTAATGCATGAGGTTCCTCATGGTTTCTGATGTTTGTTTCTCTCAGAACACTCAGCAGGCCATAATCAGACCCACTGCCTTCAAACCCGTGGTGCCTAAGAGCCGTAACGGCGTGCAGTATCTGTCTCCGCGGCTCAGCGCCGGTCTGTCGGGAAGCCAAGGAAACCTCAGCATGTTTTCTCCAGAAGACGAGGATGTTGCGCCGGCGATGATGGAACGGCGCAGTTCTTACAGCGGTGCTCGCAACACTTTGTTCAGCCAGTCCTTTACCATGACGGACACGGCACGCAACTCCTTAACCAACCTGCCGGCATATAACGGCCCCGTGTACAACCCCAGCCACAGTGAGGCGAGCAAACATCACGGACACTCCAACTCCGACAGCGGCCGCTCCTCGTCCAGCAAGAGCACGGGCTCTCTGAGCGGCCGCGGCCCCCTGCTGACCGACCCGCTGTCCCCACCGCCCATCCAGGCCTACGAGGCCATCGTCAGAGACCTGGAGGACAAACTGAGGGAGCGAGACCTGGAGCTGCAGCAGCTCCGAGAAAACCTGGACGAGAACGAAGTAGCCATCTGTCAGGTGTGTGAGACACCGTTTTCATCTCGACTAAGAGAAAAGCAGAAAGTTTTCAGAAAGTAAAATTGAGTAAAGCCAGACTACTGTGAAAAAATACCAAATATTAAATGAAAAGGAATGAGGAAACTCAGAGCTCAACAGTCAGTTCCAGAAGTAAACATCTCACTCATTTCCACCATAGAAATAAGTTTTTAATAATAATAATAATATAAATGAAAATGCGCATGAAAATTAGTCAAAATCTGGTACAATGCATTAAATGGAAACATTTATGTTAAAAATTGTACACTGTCCCTTTTCAAATAAATAAAGGGGGGAAAAATTACAATAAACTAAATTATTAAAAAAA